GGAACAGAACAGGGTAATCAATACTGGTAAAGGACAGGATCTTACTGTTGTGCAGTGGTGTGGAGCTGCGTCTATTGTAGTGCGCTGCTCTGGATGGTTGGACATTGACAACCAGAGGCCTCTGGGACCATTCTTCTCTGGCCAGGGTTTTCTTTAGGTGGTGGGACAGAGGAGTGTCTGGAAGGAGAGGACACAATCTTAAGCTTGTCGTCAAAAAATAACGCAACAGTTTTCAGCAATCTACGATTTGTACCATCACTTACTCAGTGCATCTCTAAATGCAAGCGTGCAAATCAGGGGCAACACACACCGGCCACCATATCTATCTGTATATGCTGTTCTGTTTAACAGTTGCCAGATTCAAAGAGAATTCATCCAACAGATGTATTTGGAGAAAAGAAGGAGAGAGGCAGAGGTAATGAAGGAACGAGAGACAGGAATTAATGGACTGACACGTGGGATCTACCTTTTAAATGAAAAACTGTGATACATTGTGTTGTTACCCCGTACAAACTGCTACCATAGTTACATCATTAGTCATTACTCTCCATGTCATTAGTCAATATTTCCATCTCCTGCTTGCTTTGTCTGTTTATGTAATCGCATTTTAGTTTAGCTACGATCAACTGTGATAAGATGTTTGTTGCCATGTGCCAGGCTGTTATTTTAGGTGACGTTCCCTTTGACAGACAGTCTTCTCCTGCTATTGACAAAGGGAGAATAAGATCATTCAAGCTGACAGGAAATTGACAGAGTGGTGGGTGAGTGACATTTTCATCAATTTCCAATCTGCCTCCTTTGTGTCTCCTCCTTTATCCAGTCCCCACTTCTACCGCCTCACCTTTGTATTTAACACAACAGACCTAGTGGGGTATCTGACATGCCAGGAACCACATGATGTTTCTTGATAAAAAAACAAAGCATCAAAGCCTGAAAAGCAGCAATTTTATCACATTTGCTCCCCGGAATGGAGCAGACAGCTACCACTACTAGTGTGGCACGTCCAGTGTGCTACAGATGTGATCCAACATGGCCGGTGTGTGTTGCACCTCAGAGTACGTCTGCCATGCCGAATATGGAGCTAAGCATTATACATTTCTTTCAAAAGAAACACAGAGCTAAGCCTACTCGAGTTTACTCTGCTCTGTTTTGGATTGTTAAGCCTTTTCACACCATCCATGTTAATTGTGTTGATGTTTTTCCTACCAACTGAGAGAGACAAGCTGGGGGCCCTGGACGTTAGGGCCCTACTGAAGCTGCAGTTAGGATCAGAGCACAGTACTACAGGATCACAAGATGAACAACGTGAACAGGAAGGTGACGAGAGAGAGGAGGAGAGGGTAGACGTGGACTTCCCCGAGTCCTGAGGCACAGAAAAAGAGACAAGAAGAGAGAAAGTTATTGTTTTACATAGTGCTCAACAGTTAATAGACTATCAACTTGACTTTCTCTCTGTGTTATATTAGACTATGAGTCATAAGGGTAAGTCATAAGGAAGCTGCTCTTTGCTTAAGTACAGTGATTAAAGTAATTATGTCGTTGAAGGCCTTTTTTTGTCATCTGGCAATATCACAACTGTGTTGGCAGCTTGGTGCTCCTCTTATTACAATGGCTACAATTGCTCTAATCTGCTAGAACAGTAGTGTTCAGCCAGATGTTGAGCGTCTAAACATCCAGCTCCACTATGTTTATCAGAAAAATGTTTTGCATATATGTATATGATTGTACAATGATATCAATTCTTATTACTAAAACTGTTTGAAGCCAAACAGAGCAAAGCCAGCCAGTAAGAACAAAGCACTGTACCATGTCCCCAGGATAAATAAAGGCTTGAGCTTTAAAATAATCACATGCACTTGTTTATTTGATGCTAATCCAAGAGATATTATTGTTTAATTAAAAGCAGGTGTCCGGCTTTAAACATTAATTCCTGTTTAATTTAAGGACCTATTTTAGTGATACGGCATTCCACCCCTGAAGCCTGACTAAGAGCAACTGCGTGAAGCTGCGTTTGACATGAATATGTGAATAACTCTAATTAAAACAAATTAGTGAATATGTTTTACAGCTTCCACGCATTGACACACTTTCATCAACCGTCAACCGGTAAATCTGGACGGCGACAGTCATTTGGCGTAGTGCTGGCGTCATTTTCATTGCTGTTTTTAGTGTCACCTCCGCAGAATGAAACAGAGAATGAAAATGGGACCATGATAAATGTGTCCATGTCTGCGTAAACCATCTATACACATTATCACATTTACACACATTTGTGCTTTGACAGTTGTGTGTGCAAATGGTTCAGACGGACAGACTGGGGAATGAAGGAGACGGCATGTGGCTAACCTTTGTCCTGCTGGGGATGTAGGTGCTGAAAGCGAACAGTCTGGGCTTGTGGTAGGTGACCAGGGGTCGGGTCCGGGCACACACGCATGACAAATCCGCTTTAAAGAGGCTCCTGGTCCCCAGTCTCCTTCTCTTAGAGCTCCCGGGCATGAAAACAGCGTCTCCTTTCTGACTGCTGCAGGGAGATCAGATGAGGTCATGGAAATGTCAGGGATATGATTCATGCCAAGAGAAGTATTAAGAAAAAAAACATGTTTTTCAAAATGTTACCTACCTATAACCCCCTTGTTACATGCATAAACCTTTTTTTAAAAAAGCCTTTTTTTTATTATGTGGCTTTTATCTTCGTAGACAGACAGAGGGAGTTAAAAAGGCAGCAGAAAGGAAACACATGAAGGGATGATTCAAGTTGGGCCAGATGGTGGAGACCGACCAGTCTGCTTCACTGGGTTACTTTAGAAACAGGCAGCGCACTTTAAACCTTAATACCTTAGCCTCAGGCCTAAACGAGACAATGGAAAATTCTGTTTTATTTATTATATTGGATGATTTTTTTATTTTCTTGCCAACCCAGCTAAAGTGTTTGCTTTAATTAACTAACTAACTTCTACCATCTGTCATCTATTTAGTCTATATGCTGCGGAATATCCCATTGTAGGTGTAATAAACTCTGACATTGCCATGTTCAGATAGTTAACAGTATTAGATGTGTGTGTGTGTGTGTCCTCTACCTTGTGAAGGCTCTCTTGCCCCTGCAGTTGTGTGGTTGTTTTGATAGCGGCGAGAAGCTGAGAGGAGGCATCAGACTGTTGACAATCTGGCTGAGCTGAGCACTCTGCAATGAAGACATCGTCCATATAATGCTTTTCACAAGTGGCACTTTAAGCTTTATTGTGAAATACAATCCATGTCTGTTAGCCTCTGCCTTATTTTTCTACTTTTGTTCTTATGACGACTGATTATTGATGAATATTAATGATTTATTTAGTGTCTTCAATGCAGCTGCTGAGCTTGATGTTGCTCAAATATGCCCACTGCGCCCCAATACATACACAGTTCTGAGTTTAGACAGCACACATCAGAATCAGAATTGATTTATTTGCCAAATGTACAATGTACACAGGAATTGGAAGACACAACACAAAAAAAAATAAAGACAGAACAGATTCAAATGCACATCTTAGGTACAGCTTTTAATGTCATGTGTACTGTGTTAGATTAAGAGACAAATCGCAGCATCATGCCTCCCTCTAAAGCTGGAAGGATGAATAAGTTCTTTTCCTGCAGGCTTCATAAAGCAGCAGGAATTTAGCATAATAACACACAGGAACAGCATGCATACCGTAATTAATTAGTTCAATCTTCTCAACCTGGCGCTGGGATATAACATTACAGATACACAACCTCCTGTGCTTTTCTACACACCAAAGCAATAAGATAACAGATTTAAAAGGATATTCTCTCTGAAATATTGAGTTGTAGATTACTAATGCCCTTGATTTCCTCTTCACACACCCAGTATTATAGGTGTGTGTGTGTGTGTGTGTGTGTGTGTGTACACCAGTTGTAGAGTAGTAGTGTGTTCATCTCAAATCTTTCAGAATGGATTATTTGTGCTGCAAAATGTGTGTGTCTGGTTATATTTAAGTGAACTGTAGATGTGG